TATCTATCTATCTATCTATCTATCTATCTATCTATCTATCTATCTATCTATCTTCATTTTTTCAGACAGGATCACACCATTCCACAGAATGCAGATCCAGGTTAGATATAGGTGTCTGTTCTCCAGGTGAGAAGCATGCAGCCTAGCTGTAGCAATCGTGGCATGGGGTGGAGGGACTTGTGGGTCAGGGGTGTTTCCCTGAGAGCTTCTATTTGCACACAGGATATACATTGGCAGAGGGATGCGGTCGCTCAGTGGGCTTGTTGATCAGAAAGGTTGGCAGTTCGAATCCATAGCGCTGCATAATGGAGTGAGCTCCCGTTACTTGTCCCAGCTTCTGCCAACCTAGCAGTTTGAAAGCACGTAAAAAATGCAAGTAGAAAAACAGGGAAGGTATTGGTGGGAAGGTAACAGCGTTTCGTGCACCTTTGGAGTTTAGTCATGCCGGCCACATGACCACGGAGAAGTCTTCGGACAGTGCTTTGGCTTAGAAACAGAGATGCGCACCGCCCCCTAGAGTCGGGAACGACTAGCACATATGTGGGAGGGGAACCTTTATACATTGGCAAGACAATTCTAGCTTTATCTGCTCTCAGCAGTTCCAAATCATTCTCCCCATTTCCCAGTCTCTCCCTGCTCCACCCCCTACAACATTTTTTGACTTGCTCACTTTTTAGAGATAGATCACCCAACATTTCCTTGTTCCTTAAAGTTCAGCATACCATAGCAACAGCCAACAACTTACTGGAAACAGTAAACAGAACAATTGGTAAGGCCAGTGTTTTCTCAACCTTTGCAACTTTAAGATGTGTGAATGTCAAGTTGCAAAGCATACGTTCTTTGAGTTTGGGTGGTCATGGTAGAGTAAGGTTTTAAAGAAGTTAAGGAACTGTACTCAAGTAAATCACAAGATGTATTTGTAGTATAATGTTCTGGGCATATCCAGGAAGTTCTATGCTCGGGGATGGACTATTTCATCATAACTGAGTGGTGTGTGCCCAATTCCAAGGCAAATATTATGATGTATAAGAAAGAAAACTGACATATGGAGTGATCTGTGGAGGCCCAATGTCTCTGGGATGGCAATGAGAAAGTAGGAAACGGCAGATCATAACTTGAATTATTCTGTCAACTCTATGTCTCTCTGATGAGTTTTAATAAATGTAAAGTTTTAGACATGGACACCTTCCTTTTTACCCTCACACTCACTAAACTCAGAGTGTAGGCTAATATATAGAACTGAGAGCAATATAATTACAATAGTAATAGCAGTAGCACTTAGATTTATGTACCACTTTACAGTGCTTTACAGCCCTCTCTAAGCGGTTTACAGAGTCAGCATATTGACCCCAACAATCTGGATCCTCATTTTACCCACCTCAGAAGGCTAGAAGGCTGAGTCAGCCTTCAGCCTGGTGAGATTCGATCTGCCAAATTGCAGGCAGCTGACAGTCAGCAGAAATAGCCTGCAGTACTGCACTCTAACCACTGCGCCACTGTGACAATTTTATTAGCAGAAGGCTCTTTATCTCTTGGAGACATATTATAAAATAAAGAAGTTTAAAAAATAGACCTCTTTTATCCCAAAAATGTAGGAAGAAGGCATATCATTGATAAAAGAAGGTCAAGCCTTCAAAGCCATGTTCAAAGGCTGGGAGATTTGAGAAAAGCAGAAACAAACCAGAATATCCTGGGGTGAAATCAAAGTTGTTGGGAAAGGAAGGGTATTTGAGAGGATAAATTGGAGGCCAAAAAATAGCACTTATGAAAGCTCAGGAAGGCCTCCCTGGATCTCTGGCTGCCTAGGCATGTGCTCCATAGAATTGCTTTGGACGAAGCACTTTGAGTGGATGTGGAGTAATTCCATGAAATCAGAATAGCCAGAAAGAAATATCTGAAAACAGAAAATGGTATAAGCCTAAGAACTGTAGACAAAAAAGGAAGGTATACATTTATTTTAGCTTGAAATGCCTTTTGCAGTGAGAGAGGGGGGAGGGGGGGAAAGAGAGAGATTATGAAACAGAATCTCTTCAGAATTTAGAAACCATTTTGGTCCCATAGACATGGTACACGCCCAGAGTCTATCCCAGGGGTCAGCAACCTTAAACTCTCAAAAGAGCCATTTTGACCCATTTCCCACAGAAAAGAAAACATCGGGAGCCACAAAACCCTTCCGGTGCCTAACTATTTCTGGAGTGGCCACAAAACTAGCATATGTAGTTGAATTAAATATTCTGTTTTCTTCTGAAACTTTTATTTTCTTGGATTTATCCATGGTTGGCCTACCGAGAGTTGAAAAGCTCAGTAAATCGCGTGCCGGCAGGTGCCACACATTGGTGGTTGTGACATATATGTTGAGTGACAGGGAGCCGCAACAGAGGGATGAAAGAGCCACCTGTGGCTCCGGAACTGTGGGTTGCTGACCCCTGGTCTATCCACTCTCAGTACCCAGGCATGGCAGCTGGGAGGAGCTGTCCAAACTAGTTGGTGCTGGATTCCTGATGGGCTCTTCTTATCTTCTCAGGTGCATGTTATAATAGCCTCTTGTTTTCCTTGGGAAGCTATAAAGCAGCATGAGCCAAGATGAAAGAGTCTAGCTTCGTGTTATTTTGTTTGCAGTGCTGTGCAAGCAACTTGCAAGTGTTGTGAGATGTTGATTTGGCATGTTTCAGAAGACTAGGCAACAGCTGCTGAGCTGAGCATAGATTATAAGAAGGAAGATTATAAGAGAAGGACACAATACGCATAAGTCACCAAACACTGGTTGCAAGGTGACAAAAATATGCTCCTTAGTGCAAGTAAACTAATACATTTCCTTATTCATCAAGTGTTAAGTAATTCTAAATCCATGTTTAAAACCTGTCCCAAAGCTTCAGTAAAAAGTGACAGGTTGGACTCACTTCACAGAATCATAGAATGGGAGGGAGCCATCAAGCAAGTCCCTTGCTAAAAGCAAGGAACTAAATTAAAACCACTCAATGGCTGTGCAGCTTTTACTTGTGGTGATGGGAGGGGGAAGACTTCTTTTACTTCTCTGGCTAATTGCCTCCCCTGTTAAACTGCTCTTAAATTAGGAAGCTTTTTCTAACATCCAGTTGGATTCTCTCTTCCTGCAACTTAACTTAAGGCCGTTATTCCATGTCTTATGTTATGGAATGATGAATCAGAGATCCTGACCTTATTTGTGACACTATTTCAGCTATTAAAAGAATGCTCTCATATGCAGCCTCCATCTAACATTTGGTTAACATAGAAGCTGGCACAGTCATGATTATTGGAAGCCAGATACTCATCTTTGGTTAAGAAAAGTCTAAACCTGGCTCACAAAAGAACAAAATTAAGATCCACTCAACCCAGGCCTCTGCTGGACTCAGTTGAGGTCCCGAGGGCAGGCACTTTTGTCATTCTAATTCTAGTCTGCCCTTTGCAAAGATATTAATGGATACCCATTTCTGGGTATGTGGAAAAATAGGTCAACATGCGGGGATGCATGGGGAAAATTGTATTTTGAGAGGATCGAAGCTAGGAATAACCCCCAGGACTGTGCCAATTGTTCACCCAGGCAACTACTCTGTTTAGCCAATAAAATCTAAGTTTGTTATCTTGAAGTTTTTTAAACATTTGCAGATAATGGAATGTGCTGTGTTTTATTTTCTTCTGAGAAATTGTTGTAGCAAAATCATTCTACATTTTATGGAAGTGGCAAAGGTTGTTTTTAAATTAGTTTATGATTTTATTTCCTTAGTTTAGAGATTTATTATCTTACAATCCAAAGTTATGCAATATAAGAGCTATATATATATATACACACACACACTCCAATATAATGAAGAACAAAGCCATCCTGCTTGTGGTTAAAACAGCAAAGAACATATTTCATAATTCCAAAGGTGGGCCTATTGAAAGGCCCTTCATCCCTCAGCATGAGATGTATCTGCATGAAACAGGACCGCAAAGATTGCCATATGGCTTCATAAAAAATGAAAGTTGATAAATTGAACCACAGTATGCAGGTAACCCTAGGAATTGTTTTTCTCCCTCCGAGGAGTTGAGAGCAGAATAGATGCCAGTCTTCTCTGCTTCATAATTGTGTTTAGCCCTCATTCTTTCTGGTGCTGTCTATGTGCATTTAAGATTAAATCAGATTCATTGGTATAAATTCAGCCTGATCTGACACTTATGCATTCTCCCAAAACTGCACAGAACATCTCCCAGGCACCATTCCATTCAGATTATCCATAGGCATTTCAGGCATCTGATGTTCCCGATTCCTAGAGCCTTTGAATCTACCTGAGAATCAGATCAGAGATTCGCTCTGGGAAAGGCAGCGTTGGCCTCCTTCCGTTTATTTTTTCTTCTTCCATGAGGTTTTCCTTCTGCCCAATTTGTTTTTTTGCAGGTCAGGAATGTTTGTGGCTACTCCTCACACTGGATTGCCTATGCGGCGTGATGTGCCCCATGAGAGCAAGAACCTTAATTCAACAGTTTGCATAAAAAGTGCTTCTCTGCTAGCGGAACAGCTTGGCCCGCGCGAGACTAAATGCACATCGCCTCGGAATGCACTGGCTTTCTAATTTTATGAATGACTCTATTCATGCGGCCCCTCCTACCTTTCCCAAGTCCCACCCCTGGAATGTTTGGAAGTGCGCCACCGTTGCTATTGGCTGACAGGAGGTTCCTATTGGCCCTCAGCCCGGTAGGTGGGAGGGCCTGGGGAAAATATAAATACAGAAAGAACGGAATTGCACTGTAGGTACTGAAAGTAGCATAAAAGGGGGTGTGCCAGGGTCCAGAGACTTTATAGAGGCAAGGGGCTGGGAGACAATTTTGCATCAGCTCTCAATTCTGGCTCATCCCGATCCTTCATCCTTCAGGAGTTCGCTTCCCTGGTGCTTTTGCTTCTCTCCTTCAGCAATAGTCACCCTCCTCCTGGCCGCCTTTTCTCATCGAACAGGAATGAGAGCGGCTGCCCTGACTCTCGTGGCTTTCCTGCTGGCTTTCTCTCCGGTGAGTAATCAGCTAGACTAGCCCTTTCCCCTCTACTTCGATAACTGAATTGGGGGTGCCACGTTATTGTCAATATGATAGTAAACAATGACTAGCTGTCAAACAGCGGAAATCATAATGGGTTTGGATCAAATAGCAATAACACTTGTATACCGCTTCACAGTGCTTTACACTCCCATCTAAGCGGTTTACAACAATCTGGCTCCTCATTTTACCCACCTCGGAAGGGTGGAAATTCTCATTAAATGCCCAGTAGCAGCTTCTAGCTTGCTTAGCCCCTAACGCCCACCTTCCCGGCCGGGAAATTTGCCTGACTCGGATCATACCAGGTGACGGGTTGGGTGTACTTCCATTCGTGTTCCGGCTTCATCTGGCCATCGAATTCGGCTTGACAGAGTAACAGAACGACCGAATTGGAAGGGACTTTGGAGGTCGTCTAGTCCAGTGGTCCCCAACCCCCGGTCCGCGGACCGG